CAGGTGGAGAAGGACTTGGCTTCACTTAGCGTTTCCAATTGGCGTCAGTTGGCACAGAGGAGAAACGACTGGCGTGCTTTGATGAACTCGGCCAAAATCGCTTAGGCGGTTACAGCGCCAAAAAAGAAGAAGAAGATTTATTTTTAATAATTTCTTTTAAAATATAATTCAATCTATAACAGAAACCACAAAAATAAAAGTTTAAAAGCTTGCACAAATTGCAAAATAATAAATCAAACTTCAAAAAATTGTTATAAAAATTCAAAATTTTTAATTAGAATATTTAGAAAATTTTCGGGTATGCAGTATTGTAGTCCATTCAATTATAGTATAAGAAAGGCCAAGCTTCTAGTCGTTAAAAATTACCGTTGATTTTTTAGAATTTTCAGATTTTCATATAACACATGAACAAATTTTTTTTTGTATGGGAAAAAACAGCAACACCCCAACAAAAAAAAAATCTAAACTTTCTTATACTATAATTGAATGGACTACAATACTGCATACCCGAAAATTTTTTAAATATTCTAATTAAAAATTTTGATGACCATTTCTTGAAGTTTAATTCGTTTTTTTGCAATTTTTGCAAGCTTTTAAACTTTTATTATTGTGGTTTTTGTTACAGATTGAATTATATTTTAAATGAAAATCATTAAAAATAAATAAACATAATTTGCAACAATATCATATTGAATTTCGTTGCTAATTAGTTGATCGCATGTACATATGTATGTACCCCATACACATACTCCAAAATCATTTATTATTGATAACGTTCTTGCACATGCACATAACATTACATATATGTATGTATGTACATTAGGGCGGGTCAATTTTTTTTTCGACATCGTTCCTAGCAGATTCGGATTCTACATAAAATTCTAAGAAAAAAAGCCCTTTAGACCATAGTTCTAAAATCAATTTCGAGCCTGCGCAATTTTAAAAGAAAATATTTTTAATTAATACTAAGTCCATAATCAGATTAATATTTACTAAAGTGTTAGAAATGTGTTTTTTTTTGTAATAAAGAGTTGTGCTCGGAAATTTTGTGATACGAAAAATTAATCTGATATCTATTTTTTATTTAAAGAACCGCAAGATGGCGCTTCAAAGCAAATCTACTATGTATTTGTGGAAGTATGTATGTATGTATGTACCAGGTTGCAGCCTGAACGGATGTACAGAATCGAATAAAATTTTGCCAAAGTATTGCCATGACTCCTGGACCTATAATAGGGTAAAAAATTTAAACTCGCCAAGGGGGGGAGGGGGATGAGGGATACCTCCCATAGTAAAAATTTTTAATCAGCTCTAACTTCGGAATTATAGTCATATGAACTCGAAATTTGAAATGCACAGATACCTATGGTATGTGCTTATGGAAAGATATATGTATATAAATGAGTTTGTAAAAAGGGGCGTGGCACATCTTATAGGTGTGGAATCTTTTATCAGCTATAACAGCAGGCAGTATTAGTGATCTCATTGTATTGCATTTTGAAGATTTGTTATAATTGATCAAAGTTAAATTCAAATAAATTATAGATGATATGAAGTTCACCGGGTCATCTTCTAGTCTTTAATATATACTCAGTTAATATACGGATTAATATTTACTAAAGTGTTACGAACGTTATTTTTTTAATACAATAAGAAAAAAATAACTATAATTTAAAGGAGTGACACACAATGGCTAGAGCCGACGCATGTCTGTATTCTTTCATATACATATATATGGGCCGTTCCTACGGTTTATATATTTTTCATCCACTCGCTTATTCCTTACCGAAAATTTTAAATAAAAATTTAACAATTTTTAACCGCTGATACAGTACAGGTAGCAGTTTAAAATGGGTAACTGGGTAAGCTTAATAAAGAAAACATATTCTCTGGCTAAATTAATAAGCCAGCCCGGATAACATAAAATCCCAAGCTTGATAAACATTTGGTGTTATAAAAGTTTTATAAAGCTCTACTTGTAATTAGGAAAAATGCCGAAAAAAAATTATAAAATTGATTGATTGATTGATAAAAATAGAGAGGGAGTTATGGCTATGACAATAGAAACTAGAAAAACGATACCTTGTGTTGAAAGCAAAAAGGATAAAAATAATTTTGAAATATTGTAAATTTTTTTTTTGGTTTTTTAAAGTTAAGGGTTTATTTACTTACAGTAACGAATAAAAGTATTGGCACAGTAAATTTTTCGCAATATAGGAAAAGTATTTTTTAGAAAAATTCCAAGTATGCAGTTTAATAATCCATTCAATTTTAGTTTATCAATGTGCACATTTGAAGTTGCTTGAAAATCTGAATATAAAATTGCAAATTAGTATGCTGATTTATTGAATTTTCCTGAGTTTTTCACAAAGTTTACACATTTGATTTTTATGTGTTTTAGTGTAGTATGAACTATGTTTTTATAAAAAATTATCGGAAATAAATTAAAAATTTTGCATATATGTAATGTGAAAATTTACTGTGCCAAAACTTTTGTTCAACACTGTACATATAAAATAATACATACAGTAACTTCTCCGGTTACAATAGTAAAAAATATGTAATTTGCTTTGTAGTGCAATCTTGCGGTTCTTTCAATAAAAAATAGATATCAGAAATTAATTTTTCGTATCAATAAACTCCCAAGTACAGGTTTGTATTAAAAAAAAATATATCCGTAACACTTTATTAAATATTAATCTGCATATTTTATCAATTCGTCGGAATATGTTTTTATGTATGTTACCGCATAACTTTGGACTACGTTATCCGTTTTCTATAATTCTTTTTGAAAGGAAAGTTGGTTCCTCAGAGGTAGTCTCCTACTAATTGAGTGTAGATCAGATAATTGGGCCATGGAGAAAATAACGGCACTCTTAAATTTGTATATGAGAATTGAAGTCGGTTTTGTTTTTTTGTTTAAATTTTACTCCAGTGTCCACAGCTTCTATAAAAGAGTCGTAGGCCATATTATTTTGTTAGTTCAATTGTGGAACATTTGTATGAACTGCTTCGGCTAATACTTCGGCTTTTGTTCTCTTTTTATATCGAGGCTAAGTGCTTTGTTCGATGGGGTGATATCATTGCCAAACATGATAGTACTTTGTTTGCCATGAATAAACACTAACTTGACGGAGTTACAGTATTCCACATTGATGCGAGCCTCAAAAGCTTTGAATAATATTTGCGAGTATGGCTTTTAGTTTTTACCGCTCAGGTAGGTAATTTTTCAAATATTTTTCGTTCGACACCTATATTATGTATAATACATACTTTATCTTATTAACTCAATTGAAATTGGTGGCAACTCGACTCAAAAATATTTTCAGTAGTAAGCCTTCTTAAACCTTTTTAATTTGATACCCATATTGCAATATTTAATTTATCTTATCAATTTCATTTAATTAAATTTTGAAACAGGTGGCAATCCCCCTCAAAAATATTTTCGCCTGTAAGCCTTCATAACCTCTTTCTTTTGACACCCATATTGCAATATCTAATTTATGTAATTAATTTACTTATATTGAAATTTTTAAACAGGTGGCAACTCTCTATTTTTTCTGGTTTTAACCATCAAAATATTATGAAAAACAAACCAAAAAAATAAAAATATTCAAATCGGTCAAGCTGTTTTCGAGTCAGAAATTAATTTTTTATATATAAGATATCTTCTTTTAAAAATGCGCAGGCTCGAAATTGACTTTAGAGCTATGGTCTGAAGGAATTTTTTTCTTAGAATTTTATGAAGAATCCGAATATGCTAGGAACAATGTCGAAAAAAATCGATCCATACAAATTGACCCGCCCTAATGTACATACTAACTTTCTTCTTATTTGGGGCTGACAAACTTTAACTTAAGAGTCGACTATATTCCGTCTACGAAAATGCCCCAATAGTTTTGGAGTCTAATGAAAATGCATTTCCCACGCATACATATATGTATCTATATGTACATGCTACATTAATTGACAACGTTTTTACATCCGCAGCACATCTATCTCCCCGCAAATTCATCACCATCAAGCGCAACTTTGTCAATCCGATACAAAAATTCTAAAATGTAAAATTGAAGAAATCTCGGCCAGCCAAGTGAAAAGTGGCAATTATTTCTCTATATCCAGTAAAATAAGTTATCTCGAATTTTGGTAATTTTTGGTAGTTTTTGACAAAACACTCAATTTCTCTATTCCCTTCCAATATTTCAACCACTAACTAGTATTTTAAGGTGTAATTTTAATAAACATTAAATAAAAGTGTACGTTTTCTGCAGGAAAATACATACATTTTTTTCAATAAAATCAAAACTTCTAAAATCACAAACATATGTGGTTTTATCGGAAGTTCACAAATGTAACGTGGCAACTTAGCTCGTTTTCACATTTTTCGGTCCGAAATTGTAAAATTTTTGTCCATGCGCCGCGATTTTTGTACAGGTGGGTCAATGTGCCTTGAACACCATTTGTATAAATGCAAAAAAAAAATATTTCATTTATTTTTTAATTTTAAAAATTTGTATACTAATTCGTGGAAATTTTCTATGTTCTGTGTAAAGTTTGAAAGTTTGACTTATGTAGTTTTAATTAAAGCATGAACCACATTTTTATAAAAAAAAATAACAAAAATATTCTAACTTGAAAAACTTTGCAAATATTAAACAAAAAAACCATGCACTCACTTTTGATTGCCAGTGTACATACATGTACATATCTGTCGGCGCCACCTATGGAGCACTGCTAGCCAAGAGCCACATGCAGATGGCGCAGGCTTCGTTTTCGCAGCGAACAATAATAATAATCCACATGTTTAATACCACTATACGATGTCACTTCCTATTTTTTCTTTGTTCAACCCTGTACTTCCGGTAGTGCATACCAATGATTTCCGGTAGTGTATTCCAGAGAAATTTCCCAGGGAACATTTTTGACAGTTTGTTTTCTGTTTTCAATTCTTTGTTTTGGGATTTTTAAGGGATGAAATTTTTGACATTTGACAGCAACACACAAAAACAAAACAGGTGGGGATTTCACAAAATAAATATTTGATTGTATTCAATTGTAATCTTTTTTCTCCGATACGGTTTTGCTTGCTTTCACTATTGACCCTTGACCTTTGCATCGAAATAAAATTTTCACCTGCAGAACAAAACCGCAGAAGCACAAGGAAGTCGAAGAAACATGAATTTGGACAAATGGGTGCTGCTTAACAGCCAGACAGCAGGACGCGATAAACTAGCTCGGTAAGTACATATTACATACTTATGTATCTTTGTTTACTTTGGTCCCTTGCACCGCTAAAGGTTGGTCCAGTATACATCTCGCGCATTGTGGGATTCATTGGAGAGCGCCGATGCCAGTCCAGCGTTAGCCGACAGCTTCAAAACGGTAGAGTACATACTCAGCACATTCCGGAAACGTGAGTAGCTGTTGCGATAAATTAAGGTCAATTAATTATAAGTGCGGTACTACATCTTCCTAAATCTTTGCAGTACTCCGTTTCGGTCGCTGTGTAGATATTTTCTACTCTTCACTGCGCACCATACACTACCCCGATTTGACGATACGTGTCACACTGACGTTAAGTAAGCTGTCGCAGTCCTTGTTCCTACTTGCTGACCACTTCATGTGGTTGGCTCGCACTGGGCTTTTCAAGGATATAAACACAAAACGTTGGGGTAAATTCGCTAACAAGTATTGGTTGTTGTCGATTATAATGAATCTTTGCCGTGATGTGTATGAAATATTTCACTTGCTCGACTTGCATAAGGCAGGGGCTAAAAGTGGCATAACCCGCGCTGGTGCTACCATCTCACCGTTGCGTGTCAATTCACTACGTGACTTTAATCGATTGGCATTGCACTCGTATGCATTAGTGCTGGGACACAAGGATGTTGCTGTTGATACAATAAAAAATCTATGTGATCTATTTATACCACTAACAGGATTGGGCTACACAAAGCTATCTCCACGCACAATTGGTCTATTGGGCGCAATTTCATCTGCTGCCGGTTTATGGGCATTACTAGAGCCAACAGCAAAGCTGACGCCGGCATAAGGAGGAGTTTGATTGCAAATAAGCTTAGAAGTAAATTACGAAATTATGTTTTTCTTACAAGCGGATAGATTCTTGATCTTATAGCTTAACATTGGGTATTGTTTTTTTTTTACAAAAATTACTTTTTTATGAATGTATGTAGTATACATAAATGTACATATTTTTACATTGAACGTTGGTGTTTCTTGAGTTGTTTATTTTTCAATGTAAAATTTATTTGATTATGTAGTTTTATTTCAAATCCACGAAACCAACTTTTTTGAAATTAAATTTTTTATCGAGAGGAGAATAAGTACTACCCGTTTTTTATTGCTCATAGGATCAACAATTTCAAAAATCCACTATATCTAACGGGCGTAGTAGTCGGTATTAGAATAAACTAAAAAATAAGTATTTTCCTTTTGTAACAGAATATAACATTCTTCAAAAAGTTTCGAGGATTGCTGCTAATAGAACATTATTAATCAACATTGGGCTAAAGACTTCCATTTCCATAATTTTTTTGTGATCCTACAACAAGGAATGACATCTGGATATTACGGGCTATGGACCTGTAAGAAAATCATCTCGACTACCGCATCCATTCTCGATCTGCCCAATTTACATTAACCGACCATAATCCGAACCATGTTCTTGGAAGTGAATTGCAGAACGTGCGGGAATATTTAAAAACAATCAACAAATTTTCGTAAAAATGTCGCACTTGCTATGAAAAATATTGAGTATGCAGTTTTGTAGTATAATAATGTGCAAGTTTGAAGTTATCGCTGAATTTTGGCTTTTTTTTTCGTTGAGGGTGCTGCCCAGTTGCTTCCATACAAAGTATGTAAGTCAAGCCCTAACCGCCAAAAAGATGTAAGCGATATTTTTTTCAAAATTTTCTTTTTGATGCAGAAACGTTCCTAGAGCATTTCTGCATCAAAAATAAAATTTTGAAAAAAACTGTCGCTTACATTTTTTTGGTGGCAAAACGTTTCACCATGGGCGTAGTCAGGCAGGTATACAGGTTTATTCAATGAATTTTTCCCTACTTCCCCTTCAAATGACCTCGAACCTGACGTAATGGGGGCTAACAGACCTCGAGTTCGCATTCAGCGCGTCGAATAACATAGGGTTATAGGGTTTTGTTCAATATGCAGAAACTTTTTTGTTGTGAACCTGTGTTATTATTATTATTGGTGGCTATCTAACTACGATCACTGAATCCGAATTGCCACGAACGTATGTATTCTAAGTATACGCTACGTTCGTAGCTATTCGGATTCAGTGATAGAATTTTCGTAAATTTTACGAAAAATCGGACTACGATGGATTCTGTGATAACCCTGATTATAACCCCATATTCGATGCTTAGATGGCGGTAGTTGGCGCATGTGGCAAGTCGTTGCTCTAGTGTAGGGCTACCAGACGTCCTGGTTTTCCAGGATTTGTCTTGGTTTTGACAAATTGTCCTGTTGTCCTGGACCGCATTTAAACTGTCCTGGTTTTTTAATGAATGTCAATGCAGACACCCATTTCCTATTTGGCCCTGAGAACTCTCGACTACTATCCCTGAAAATACTATCTCTGCGCCTTGATCTGATGGTCGCTTATACAATAAACAACACTGGAATATTGTGCTATTTATTGAAAGAAAACTGCCAAAATCAGTTGTTCACTAAATGACGTATAAGTCAGATCAATGTGCAGGGATGGTATTTTCAGGGATAGTAGTCCAGAGTTCTTACTTTAATCTAAGCCTAAGTGGAAGGTTATGTCACCTTTTGTCTCTTTGTTAGAGCTTTTCAAATATTGCAAAAAACGTCTCGATTTGGCCATCTCAAAATCCCGAGCTAATAGAAACTTTATACTTAAGTCTGGTTTTCACTATATCAAACTCAATGGCATTTGTCGTCAAATAAGTGGAATTATATTGTCTAAAGGAACCACAAACCGGGCTATCGATTGATTAAGATCAGAATAGGTATCCAGTCGTGTAGACGCGCTGCGTGTATAATCAGTGAAGCTATGGGTATAGTTGTGGCAAAATACGTCGACAAATTTTTTCGTCAAAATATGACATAGTGAAAACCAGCTCTTACGGATTCGTAATTAGCATAAAACAGACTATTAAAAAATAGCTTTAAAATTTTTCGCACCAAATTGTTTCCCCATTTTTGTTGGCCTGTTTAATAGATAATCGACTAGTAGTCGTTTATCTCCCACTAGCCAATTTTGATTTGGATGATAAGTGTCCTGGTCGATGGGTTCAGGCTTTTGACAGACATCCTCTAGTACAATGCCGGCCAAAACATGCAAATTGTGCCGTTTTTCGTTCGTGTTTTGACACATACGGTAACGATATGTATTCACGAAGTTAAACGCGAGACAGACGGGCATACTTATGCAGATTAACTAGCACTTGCAGACGGCAGTAATGCGGATTAACACGAGCCGCGAGTGCGTAGGTTCAAGACGCACGGCCAGTAGAACTTTCATTTATTTTTATTTTTTCATTTTTTTATAAGTTCTATATTTTTTAACATTCCTTGCAGTTACTTGTTGTGGAATTTTTTAATAAAATTTAACTCTAAAAAATTAAAGTAACTAATAGTAAAAAAAGGTGATATCAAATAAAACAAAATAAATTAAAATAAAGTAAAATTATATACAGGGTGTCCCAGAAGTAATGTGCCAAACTTTAGGGGAAGTTAGGTGGGGGGGTGAGCTCCCTGATAAACAAAAAGTTTTCAGGTAAAAGTGCCACCGTTTTTGAAATATTTACATTTTTTCGAATTAAAAAAAATCGTGCCTTTTCATGTGTTTGCTTTAACTGCAACTAAAAACCGGGCAATACTTAGTAAATTTTTTATGTAAAACACTTCCAGATAGTTGCCTCTCCATACTCAAATGCAATGTAGTTAAAATATATTAAGGAACCATCATAAAATTAGGACTATTTCTGGATTTGTCACTTTTTGATATTTTCTTCCCCAACTTTGACTATCTCGGGTGAAAAAAAAAATGTACTGAGCTATAACTTTACATTACATAAAAAAATTGCTCATTTAAGAAAGATTTCAGAAAGGTACCACACTTACTGTTTTAAATAGAAAAAAAAGTTATAGCCGCTTTTGTGGGTAAAGGACTTGAGACACGCTAGAATGTATTTAATAGATTTAAATTAAATTTGCTCTTGTTACCGTCAAACGACATGCTAAATAGTACAAAGGTACATAATTACTTGCTTCTGACATTATTTTATGTTACTTACCGGAATTCGGACTAGAGTCTATAACAAGGGCTATATCTATCAATATTTTGTGTGAAAGATGGGTTCACGTGAAATAAGATATACATGAGTTGTTTGAAGAAAAATTTATTCATTTATTGATAAAATATGCTCAAATTGGCGATCTTCTACTCTAATACAAGCTCGGCACCTTTTAAGAAAAGACGCTTTTAGAGATCTTAAACTCAATTGGGCTATCTCAGCAGCAGCTCCATTTATTTGTTCCCGCTCCAGTAGAAAAAATCGAATGGATTCAGGTCTGGCGATCGTGGAGGCCATGTGATTGGTCTGTATCGTCCAATCCATCGGCGAGGATAAGTTTCGTCTAAATGAGCTCTTACTTCACGCCCGTAGTGAGCAGGGCACCCGTCATTTTGCTGCCATAGTCTTCGCCGCAGGTTTAAGGGTACATCTTCCAAAAGAGTTGGAAGCCGTTCCTGAAGGAACTCTAAATAACTGTGAGAGTTGAGCGTTGGCGGCAGTTCCACAGGTCCCAATATCTGACAATTAAAAATACCGCACCATAAATTTATTTGTACTGGTACTGCGAACGATCTTATCTCATTTCGTGAGGATTATCTATCTGCCAACTGTGAAGGTTATGTAAATAAAAATAACCATCACGTTTGCATGATGATTCATCGCTCCAAATTATTTTATTAAAAAAGTTGGGGTCTGATTCATGCATTCGCAACATTTCACGGCAAAATCTAACTCTCGACAGGTAATCTCTTTCCTGTAGAGCCTGAACACGTTGAATGTGGTAGGGATGAAATCGATGGTCTTTTAAAGCTTTGTGAACTGTAGTTTTTGGTATTCCCGTCCGTCTTTTCATCATTCTCACTGAAGTCGATGGACCTAGTTCCACTTCCTCTAACACAGCTTCAACATCTACCGTTGCAGGACGTCCTGTTTCGCCGCCACGCCTTCCAAGTATGCGACCTTAAAAAAGTGAAAAATGATAGTTAACAAGCAAGCAAACAAAAAAGGTGTAAAAATCACTTACCTTCATATATTTCTCTATGGGTCCGGGCGAATACTTCACGACCCGGATGTCGACGATTGGGGTATCGCTTTGCATAGAGTTTTTGAGCAGCTCTGGCATTACAGCAAGCTTCACCGTAAATTAGGTGAATATCCGCATATTCATGCGACGTATACTGCGTGTTCTCTGTCATAGTATTAATAACACAATGTTCGAAGGGTCCAATTTCACAAAATCCGCTTTCACTAATTCCGGTAAGTAACACAAAATAATGTCAGGAGCAGGTAATAATGTACCTTTGTACTATTTAGCATGTCATTTGACGGTAACAAGAGCAAATTCAATTTAAATCTATTAAATACATTCTAGCGTGTCGCAGTCCTTTACCCACAAAAGCGGCTATAACTTTTTTTTTCTGTTCGAAACAGTAAGTGTGGCACCTTTCTGAAATCTTTATGAAATGAGCAATTTTTTGTATGTAATGTAAAGTTATAGCTCAGTACATTTCACCCGAGATAGTCAAATTTGGGGAACAAAATATCAAAAAGTTAAAAATCCAGAAATAGTCCTAATTTTATGATGGTTCCTTAATATATTTTATCTACATTGCATTTGAGTATGGAGAGGCAACTATCTGAAAGTATTTTACATAAAAAATTTACTAAGTATTGCCCGGTTTGTAGTTGCAGTTAAAGAAAACACATGAAAAGGCACGATTTTTTTTTAATTCGAAAAAATTTAAATATTTCAAAACCGGTGACACTTTTACCTGACAATTTTTTGTTTATCAGGGACCTCACCCCCCCACCTACCTTCCCCTAAAGTTTGGCACGTTTCTTCTGGGACACCCTGTATATACATAAGTAAAAAAAAAAACAAATAATAAAAACAAAAAAATTTTTGGCAACCGCTCCAGCCGAGGATCGAACCTGGCACCTGTAGACTTGTAGCGTATAACTCTCACCACTCGGCTACCGCCGACGCCAAACTCGCTTGCTTGGTTTGCCTACTTGTACAAAAGACAACAGGTGGCCGTTTTTACCAATGTTGTCATCGAAAATTCCCCTGATCCGAGTTAGTTAGTAGTGTGCTTATGCACATTTGAAAGACAAAAAGCATGAGTTAATGCAAATAAAGGCTGCTTATGCAAATAAGCGAGCCCGTTTGTCAACGATCGAATTTCATGGCGGAAACATTTATCGTTCGGGAATCTGATATACCTGGGGATCTAAACTCTGTTTTACAAGGATATATGTATCTGTCCCGGTCATAGCAGCACCTACGGTTACACTACGCAAACAAGGTGACAGTTTGTAAGCCAACAAGCACAGTTGGAAATCCGCAAGAAATGGCTTGAAGTAGCCGGTAGTTCACCACATTGACGAATTTGATCAAAGTGTAACTTTAACTTGCACATTTGAAGAAACACACAACGATCCTTGTGCAGCCAACAGGCAAACATTTACCACAGCAATAACAACAAATAGAAGAGCAGGCAGAAATGTCATGCCGTTAGTTGGGTCGAAACAGCACAGCAGGGCGTAGAATAATATTTTGGTTTATGACTTCTGTGTGACGCTCTACACCGCATCGGATGTTAGACATTGGATGTGGCTGTTCAGAGGGCCAGAAAGAGAGGTAGTCCGAGCAAGAAAGAGAGTGCGAGAGTTGGAAGCAAAACCATGCCGATCGGCCAATTGCTTAAACGGTGGACTGCTGACAGTAAATGAAACGAATTGGAGTACAACAATTAGCAGAGGAGCGCAAGGAGCGTTGTGAGCCGAAGCTGGATGAAAATGCCTACAAGCAGAGAGCGTAAAACATTTAGTTGGCAAACAATTTGGCACGCACCTTGGGAGGGGAGTGAAGGAACGTTGCAACGTGGCTGGCTGGCTGGCTGGCGATATTGGTTGTGGTGGCGGCGGCTGCCAATCGAGCAGCAGGATATGCCGCTGTGCGTTTTTTGTGGCCAAAATAATTTTTTTTTTGCTGCTTTATTTCAAACACCTTTTTTTGCAATGCTTCATTTACTCTCAAACACGCTAAGGTACACGCATGTACGTATATATGTAGGTAGACACCAATTCGAATTGTGTTTTGAGTAAATTAAGTCGTTACGGTCAGTCTCGCTACAATCGGCCAGCCGTTCCGCTACATACAATCGCATAAACACATACATATCTCCCTCATTCTGCTACTCTATTGAGGCGTTGGTTTAGGCGTAGCTGCTGGAGCAATCTTATTTGGAACGTAGTAGGTGTTGTATTTGTCAACATTTGTACGCTGCGCGTTCGTTAGGCAGCCGCCACAAGCGTTGAAGTGCCGGCATCGAAGTGGCTGAACGTCGTCGTCGGCGCGTCCCATGGAAGCGGCACAAAATTGAGTTACAATTTGCCAGCAGGGTATGTTTGCTGACCAAACAGCAGTGCCAACCGGCAGTGGTAGCGGCGTTTACAGCAGCATTTGCACTTTTTTCACCAACCGCAAATATTTTCATTTAATGTCTGATGCGCTGCTGGTGGCTGGTGGCTGGTGTGTACCACCCGCATATACCATATGTATGCATGTACATATGTATCTATACCGTTATTGGCGGTTAGATGGAGAGTGTCAATAAGCAGGAATAAATGCACATAAACAGGCATGAGGATGTGCTAATTTCGGGAATGCACGGTGTTGTATGATTTCAAAGATAATATGGTCAATTGCAATGGTTATTTTCGCATTCACAAACGCTTGGCAATCGAATTAGAGAGTTGTAGCTATAAACGACGCTGCGTCGACCGCAATGGGTGGTCAATAGGATTTAGTGTCTTTTGTGTGGTCTAATGTAGAGTTAAATTTAAAAAAATCGCGAAATTCGGAAACTTCATCAATTTTATTATCTTTGTATTTCGTATTCACTAGGTTTCGAATTCAATTGTTGCTGTTGTCTAATCCACGTGATATATCGAACGGGACAGATTGTGCCTCCATACAATATTTTTTGCTAATAATCAGGGGCTCAGAACAAAGGGTATGATCGATAATAAATGTCGTTTTCGTAGTTTTGTTCATGATAAAAATATAGTAAGCTAGAACCGCTGAGAGTCACTTTTAAGATTCTTGACGTTTCCAAACAATTTAATTTTT